TCTTCAGCTGGATAAAGGCACTTGAAAAGAGGCTCGAGTCAATTTCTTTTCTGTTCTTTTTCTTTCTTATACTTTTCAGTGTGGTATTTTGCAATTATGTTCAGCTGGAATATTAAAATATTAGGCATCTAACAGCAGGGTTGCTCCCTGTCTGGTGCGCGTCCTGTCAGTTTCAGTGAGTGCCTCAGGAATGTTGAGAACTCCGTTGAAATCATTTTACATGTAGTGCGATTCCTGTCAAAACAATCCCATAGTGCTCTGCAAGAGCTTGATAAAAAAAACAAGCAGCATCAAAAACTCCAAACAATAAAAAGCCACAACCAAAAGCCCTGCTGTTGAGTTTTAAAGGGGCTGACCGTGTCGCTGTCTCTGTTGCCTTTTTGTAAGATCTTTCCACTCTCTGGGTGCCAAAAGATCACCTCTTAGTTTAGGACCCTGCTGGAGTCCAGAGTCCACAACATGGAGGAGTATATAGGAAAAGATGATTGTGGATGTAGTCTGGTTCTGATCCATTCAGAACCTTAAGCATTGAGAAGCAGAATTTTAAACCTGCTTCTTGGGTGGGGATGCTAAGTGTGGAATGATGACCGGCGATAGGACAAAAACTGGAAAAAAAATTCAGCTTATTACTATGGAGAAATTCTGGAAGAACCGAACATTGTATTAATAAGAATTTATACCGGGCCTTTGCTGTGTTGCAGGCCACAAACGCGGACGCATCGTGTGAAAATGTAAATTCTTTTCGAAATGGTTCTTCCCTGGTGTGCGCGGGTCTGTGAGAAGTGGTCTGTTCTGCGACCCTTGGTCTGCCTTTTTAGTTTTTGTTGGTTGTGGATTTTGGAAACCCAAGATCCTGAGCCAAACAGCTGTTGGCTTGGTGGAGGTGAACACTGAGATCAAGAATAGGAGGTTGCACAGAAAGCTGTTCAGTGAGTCACGAGTTTAGGGGGCCGTAATTAGTCTGTGCATCTTCCGCAGGTGAGAAAATGATACACGGTGATAATGGAGCCTTGGATTTCTGTGGAGTGTGTTTGGAGTACCTGAGTAAGGCTTCTTCTGCTTGTGACTGATTGCTTGTGTCTGGGCACTCAGTTGAGGCCTTTGTCATTGAAGGATTCAAAAACTGGCCCTCAGGCCTAATTTGACACCTTTGTTGTCTTTGCTCCTGCATCACTTTGCCAAAGCCTTTGAGAAACCTGGAAGAGCTCAGCTCTCCAGATCGAGAAGGCCTGCAGTTGCCAGGGCGACAGTAGCTGTGGTCCCATACAGTGTGATAACACTGCCAGTGCTCTCTGAACCTCAGCTCAGATATGACTCCAGTTCGGCTGTCTAGGAATCTGTCGTCCCAGATAGCTGATAAAGTGAAACTTTCCAGGAAAGGACACTGAGCATGAGGTTGCCATAGTTACTAGGCAGCCATTCTAAAAACTCCAAAAAAAGGAAGATTGTATGTACTTCTTAAAAGTTTTTATTAGTTTTAAAGCTTCTCTAATTCATTACATCTAAGCCTTTCATTACAACTAAGCCTGTTTTACTAATTTTTCTCAGAACTATAACAACTCATTTCTTTATCCTGCCAAATTGTACGTCTGTTTGATTTGAGAGAAGATTTGAACATTAGGTGTTGCCAGGTCTCCTATGTGCCTTCAGTCTTGAACCAGAATGTTTTAAGCATTTTTTAAGCTAAAGAGTTCCGTTTAGAATTTTGTATGAGGAGTGGTTCTTAATGCATTTTTGGCGCTTATATTTTTATATTGCTTAAAAGTATTATTGGAGTTAAAAGCAAAGGATTTCATGTCAGTGTCGTATTTTTATTGATCTACACGATGTGAATTCAAGGCAGAGAGATTCAATTTTAATATTTGCACCAGTGTTCAGTGCCATTTGCAAACCAAATAGCAATAACCCATTTGAAGTTCATGCCCACCTGTGCCTTTCAGATAATTTATCTTATTGGTTCTTTATCATGCAAAATGCTTATTCTAGCACCTATCTGCATGCATTTTCAATTTGTTTCCTACTATCTACTATGCCTTTAATATACCTCTACTACTCAAGCATACTGTTATTTTCCCATATACTATATGTTATGGTGCTAACAGCTTAACCAAGCGCAGTTTGAAACCCTCTGTATAAAATCAGATATAGGCAATGTTCATGTTTTTTTTATATGTATGTGAAGAAACAGGTCTTCATTGTACATCTTTGTTCAATGTTGTACATTTGTTATCTACAAAAAGAAAATTTTGTGGAACGATCAAGTGCTTCCAAAAACTCTTCCATCGCGCTGTCCTGGCCGTTTGGGAGTCAATCGAGTATTCTGTGGCAGAAGACAACATGGTTGTTAACTAGGGCTCTGCTATTTTATGAGTCTCATCTGTTTGTTTCTGTTCTTAACTGAGTACCAAGTGAAATAAAACTGGCAAGTATTTTATCACATTTTGCCTCATGCTTGCTTATGCACTAATCACACTTTCTTCCCAAAATTGCCGTTGCTCAAAGAACAAGCCTTTCCTGTCTGTCGGACAGTGTTTAGAGTTCTTTTTTTCGGAAGAGGAGGATTGTTCAAACACACTGTACTCTGCAGCTTGCTTCAGGCGGCTGCTTGGTTTGTTTCTGCCTTACAGAGAGGTGCTGCTACAACTCTGACTCAGTGCCCTTCCTGAGTCCTGTTCACAGATAAAACCCCCCGATCCAAGCAAAGCTACAGACACTCGTGCAACAGTATGGCATCACATGCTTTTGCGGGGGAAAACCTTTCCAGGACCTAGGGTCAGGATATAATTCAGAACTTTATCCATGGTTAAAAAAAATAATGATACATATGCTAGAATATTACAAAATATTTCAGATAAGAGTTAGAATGACATTAACACCACTCTGTTCAGTGACAGTTTTGTGTTACTGTATGCCGTCAAAGGAAGTAGATTAAGCTTGTAAGGAATTCCTGTCCATAAGTGAAACATCTGTGGTCCACAATAAATCGCATGGTAATGATGCAATAATACAAAATGACATTTCAGTTGAATGTAAGATGATGCTTATGGATCATGATGGATCATAAGTGCTCAGATTTTTTTGAAGGTTGTTGCACCATGAATGCACTGAAGCTCTTCCATTGAAAAAACAAATGCCTTATTTAGCAAGTTGAGGTGTTTTGTTTGTGAGCTCTTAGAGAGGCACCAGTCAGATGTTGAACAATGCGGCTTGATTGCTGCAGAGCAGATGGGGAAACAAAATCTGTTTACGGCAAATAGTAGAACAAAATATATTTAGTGAATATAGTGAAATCTGAGTCTTGGCTACATGTCATGTATGCTATCTGTGATCTGTGTTGCATCTCGGTGTTCTGGATGCAGCGTCTCCACTGAAGACTGAAAAAGAACAGAACATTTTATTCATAGGGAAAAATCTGTGAAGTGAATCCATGAGCAAAGCCATGAGCTCTCAACACTTACCTCTGTAAACTGTCTGCATGTAAATACAGGACAGAGCTCATTTGCCACTAAATATACAGTACGTACCGCAGGTGGTGTAAGGAGTGTTTTAAGTTCAAAATGTTGAATCTGTAGACCTGTCTCCAGAAAGGTCTGTTTAATCGAAAAAATAAAACATTTAAGGTAAAAAATATTTTTTCCGAATACAACACTCATCTAAAAATAGTGGCTTTCGTTTGGAATGTTATTGAATGTGAAAATGAGTTATTTAGAATTCCACCCATCTCTGATTTTTCGCTGTTGCTAATAAAAAAAGATCGCCATCCCTGGTGGTCCTTAAATTCCCCATACTTTAAACACAGCGGTGTTTTCAGATGGCAACAAGCAGCATAGCCCCCATGTTCATTATAGTCTGCTGTATGAAGAATGCTGCATCCAAACATGAGATAGTTAGTGCTGTCTGTGAACAGGGAGTTCTGTCAGAGAGGACCCATCCCCCGTGAGGACATGCCTTCTGCAGTGCAGATTCCTAACAGGGGAGGATCTTGGAGCCTGTCATGTGTTTTAACTGTTCAGACTTTACTGTGATCTCCGTTTTATTCCCTTTTCTGGAGCAGTAATTGGCCGCTCCTCTGTTTATTTAGCTAGCCACCTCTGTGGAGCCCAGGAGGACACAGGGAAACGATGAGATAGCTATGGCCAGATTTTCTAACACGGCAGAAGAGTTCATCAGGAAGAATCTTCACTTTCTCTAATACATCCTGGAAAACTCCATTTTATGGTTAGGATACAGAATACGGAGTTTTGGAGTGCTTTTGTTAAAAATAATCAAGACTTTTTTCGTCCTTTATGTGCCGCAATAGAGCATGCTCAGCATTTTACAAGACATCATGGTCGGAGTGCAGAGGCACTGGAGACTCAAGAGATTTAAATGGTGACCCCACTGAGTACAGTAGGTGCTCTCCTACAAGAACCTTTCTTTCCAGTGTGAAAGGGTAGAGCCTGCTCCGCCAAAGAGACAGACACAAGTGGAGATGCCACTATCTGGCCACAAACATTTTCCAAGTGGGGTGTAATTCTAAAGGTGTCCTGTCATGTGCTAATCAGAGCACCGTGATATTAAAAACCAGTTCCAGCCCCTGGTGTGGTATTTTTTCTCTCCCTCTCCTGGGGATGAAATTGGTGTTGAAAGACGTATGGACGGTGTTGGTTGTATGGTCTCCTGGAGAAGATGGAAATGGGGTGGAGGAGGGGGTTGAATCAAAATAACATATTTCAGCAGGAGAGCATCTACTGCAGAGGAGGGAAGTTCCTCCAGTGACTGAAACAAACTGCTCAGCAAGGATCCTGTTCCGCTTTTGTAGCGCAGCATTCAGATGCTCCGTGATTTGCTAGTTTGTTTGTTTTTTGTTTGTTTTGTTTTTATCGAATCTTCCTGATCTAGAAGGACTACAAAATAACGCAACTGCGGTTGATCTTTTATGTTGTTTCCCTGGAACTGGGCCGTCCTCCTGCTGCGCTGCCCTCTGTTCTCTCTACACGTGTGTTCTGTGTCATCGACAGGTGTACGAGAGCAAGCTGCAGGCGCTGCAGAAGCAGGTGGAGACCCGCTCCCTGGCCGCGGAGACGCCCGAGGAAGAGGAGGAGGAGGAGGAGGAAGGTAACTGCCGGCGCCTGTAACGAGCAGGAGGCCAACATGTGAGGAGGAACAATACACAGGTCTCAAACTAGAGGAGGCTATTTTGGTGCTAGTAAATGATTGAAGGATTTCATCCGGGTATTTCTTGAAAGAAAGCCAGGCTATCAACTTCACCAGCATGGCTGGGCGGCTTTCTCCACGCTCCCACCACCCTTTGTGTAAAGCAGTGCCTCCTGTCCTGATTGGCAGTTCTTGAAAGAGGCCAGGCTCTTGACTTCAATCACATGGCTGAGTAGGTTGTTCTTGACTCCCAGGACCCTTTGCATAACGATGCACCTCCTGCTCTTGTATTGCAAAGTGCTTCCCTGTAGTTTGGACTTTCGTTTGTTAAAAAACCTTGTGGTATCTTGGACAGATTAGCATATATGTATAGGGCAAGTGTGTCATGCTCTAATTGACGCCTGTAAATATTGATGATGTGCCAGCTGGGCCAGGGTGCTTCCTGTGGGGGTGGGCACGCTGGAAGAGCTTTCTGATGTCGTCTGTCTTTCCCCAGCGACCTGGACCCAGCATGAGATCGAGCTCGCACAGTGGGCCTTCAGGAAGTGGAAATATCACCAGTTCACGTCTCTCAGGGACCAGCTGTGGGGCAACGCAGTCTATCTGAAGGAGGCCAACGCTATCAGCGTCGAGCTGAAGAAGAAGGTACGCCGGGAAGGTCTGCGAATGTGCTGTGCGGGGAAATGCGTCTTTTTTTTTTATAGTAGCTTCACGTCTAGTCCAATGCATGAGAACTGTTCTGACTACAAAGTGTAGTTTTTTTCTTGATGGGGTCATGGCAAAGGTCTTATCTCCTGAGGGAGAAAAATGATCAAAATCAAGATGGACTCGTTTTGCTTTGACCACACAGTCTGTTTGTTGCCTTGGCAAGAGGCCCTCCGTTTGGGAAACCCAGTTGGCTCAGGTAGCTGGGAGCAGCCGCAGATTTTCTCATGACATGAAGGTTCTGGACATGCAGTGGTGTCAGTGGATGCCCAGTGGAATTTATTTGTGGTTTGTATACAGGCTGAAGGGTTGGAAGTTACTTTGAACTAGGCTTTCCCAGAAAATGGCAATATCATGAAGGAACTAATCCTTCTTTGTGCCTTATAAATTAAAAATAAACCTATTTTTGCTAAATGCAACGTTTTCTCAGGCTTGGATTACTTTGAATCTGTACAGCACTGTAATGGGAGAGGAATACCGGTCTGTTCATTTAAGTTGGTCAAAAGGGAAAGAATACAGTATTTCTCTCATGATTAAAACAGCACTGAGATCTTCTGGCCTCTGAGCACTAATTAAACACTGACTTTTCCCTGTTGTACGACAGTTTCTAGAGGCTAAAAGGAATCACAGTGACATCTGTACCCACTGAGAGACCGGAGGGTGTTTGAGGTTTAATTTTGTATGTTTTTTTCTGGAGCAGAGCAATTTCTTTTCTTCCTGACTTTGATCACAGATCCATTACTTGTCTGATTAATTTGGTGCGAAGTGACAGTTGGAGTGAAAGTGGCCCTAGGATGATAACATTGCTTCTGAAACTTTGCAGGGGTTATTTTTATTCATTTTTTTTTAACAGTGTATTGTTTTGTTCTTTGTCTCTCTTAAGACAGAATATTGGTCACTGATTTTTGTTATTATTTAGAAGTTCTTTAACAATGTTAAAATAAAAACATTGTTATAATATACACATTAGAATTAGTATTTACTAATACCAATTAGTAGAATTAGTACCTATAATACCCATTTCATAGAATTTCCAGGGAGAAAAAAAGCATTATAGTGTTGGCGCTAATGAATATAGTAAAGCATTATAACGATGAAGTTATCACACTGAACATTCAATGATATTCTCTGAATTTAATCTTGCATCCCTGCCCCAGTGCTGCATCATGGGATCTGAATATTTGTGCTGCTGATTTTCTGTTCATCTGTGTAGTGTAAATCATGCTCGAAAAAGACTGGACCAGCGGCAGACTTGTAGATTGTTTTGTAGATTGGAAGATCCCACGATGCATCACTTCGGTAGGGACATTCCCACGATGCATTGCAAAGGGCAGTAGGACAGGCTGACCTGTCTCTGGCATGGTGCTCCGCTGGCGGATGTGCTCAGTGCTGGTGTGGTTCTCCACGCATGCACTTCTTGGCCATCAGCCTGAAAGGCTTTCAGGGTACTGGTTCAGCTACAGTGAAGGTCCATTTCCGCTTCTCTCAGTCATGACCACAGGGAGCCGTAGGCATGACTGTGACTGCAGCCAGGCGTTCCAGTTTCCTCTTGGCCTGCCGCGTGGCTGGGCGGTGCCCAGGGTGTTGTGCTTCCGGGACAGGCTCCTGGGTCGCTGGTGCCCATCAGCAGGCTTCTGCTAATGGGCCCCGAGGATAAAGCCCAGGGCGGGCTCTCCCTGTGCTTCCCTCCAGGTGCAGTTCCAGTTCGTGCTGCTCACGGACACGCTGTACTCCCCGCTGCCCCCCGAGCTGCTGCCCCCCGAGCTGGAGAAGCAGCGGGACCCCTGGCCCTTCCCGCGCACGGTGGTGGCTGTGGAGGTGCAGGACCTGAAGAACGGGGCCACGCACTACTGGTCTCTGGAGAAGCTCAAGTGAGTGGGGCCCCCGGCTGGGAGGGCCGCACGGCGCCCCGGTGCCCCCCCGCGCCCCCTGCGCTGACCTGTGCCGCTCTCCTCCGCAGGCAGCGGCTGGAGCAGATGCGCGAGATGTACGACCGCGCGGGCGAGATGGCCTCGTCCGGCCAGGAGGACCCCGAGGGCGCACTCACGGGCAGCGACCCTTTCTACGATCGCTTCCACTGGTTCAAACTCGTAGGGAGGTGAGCGGGGGGGGGGGGGGGGGCTTTTTTCCCACGCTCTCCACGTTCAGATGTTCCCCGTTTCGGACTGGGAGTTCTGTGCTGTGCTGGTTTGGGAAAGAGCTGTTTCAGGAGCTGTTGCAGAACAGGAGTGGCGGATTAAACAGGGCCATGCGCTGGAATCTCCTTAAAAGAATATAGTTGTGTTTATTTCCAGTATCAGATCATTGGAAAATATTCTCAAAGTCAGCAAAGAAGACATTTAAATGTGTAAATCGTGTGATACTACACCTTCACGGTTGAATTCTGTGTTTGTATCATTTTGTTGTAAGCAAATGACACCAGTAATGAAAAGGGGTTCACCAGTGAATACTAATTAATCCTATTTCCATAATTCACACAAATGCGTTTTAGTACATTGTTGTCTCTTCATGTTGCTTCGTTTTTGCTGTTATTTTTTTCTTGGCTTGTATCATATTGAGTTTATTTATTTTGCATTTCTGTACGGCTGTAGTTTCTGTTAGAACATCATTTGAATGTATAAGTAATGAGTTCTGTAGTTTTCATGTAATTTCGAGAAGTGTCTCATCTCTGCAGTATTGTACTTGTAGCTTTCCGTTTTCTGTTAGCTGCCTCTTTCCTTGTAAAATAGTCAAATTAATTGGTTAATTAGCCACTGAGCCCTGATCTTAAGAACACAAGAAAGACCTTATGGACTGTCCTGCTTCTCTACTAGTCCTGTATCTGGTTTAATCTCTGGGTTTTCTCCAGTCATTTTTAGAAAGCACATGCAGTTTAAATGAATATGAATCTTCGTTTGCCATGTAGATTATTTCTTAGTTACCCTCTGTTATTAATCCTCCGTTATCTCATAAACTACTCCAGCTTTTATGATCCTTTTACTGTTGTAGTACTGTTTTATTTGCCCGTTTCTTTGTATACCATTTATTATGTGTTGTGTCATGTTTCCCATCTATACTGTGGATCCCCTGGGGGGTTTTTATGTTTTAAACATATGGTTTTGCCCTTGCCAGTGCATTTAGCTCACTGCTCGAGCATTATAGATGTGCTGCTGTGAATCGGTTTAACCTTCACTTTTTTATAAATGGGGAAGAAAAGCCCTTCCAAGGTGACTAGACACAGGACTTCAGCAGCTTCCCAAGCAACACAGAAGACTCCTGATGGAGCTTTAATACAAAGCTATGCTGATAGGTTGGTCCGATAGCAGCTAGTAATTAGTAGTAATTAGTAAGTCAGATTGTTGTGCATATGACAACATCCTTAGCTTAGTTTGTGGAATATGGCACTGTAGGATGGAAGGAAATCGGAATGTAAATTAGAATGGACTCACATGTCCCGGGTTCCAGATTTCCTACGTGCAGGTACCAGCGTGTGTGAGGCAAAAACAAGAATAGTAGCAGCTCCTGCAGAGACCTCCATCACCCGTTCGGAGTTAGGTTATCTGATCTTGAAGAGATGCCTGTATTGGAAAATGAAATGCAGGTGGGATTGGTTTGCATTTTGCGGTCGGGAGCTCTGCAGTGATAAAGATCCTTCAGGTGGGCTGCTGTTGTCGTAATTGGGGTCCTCATCTCGCCGCTCGTCTTCCCCGGAGACAGCGCGTGCCCCCCCCAGCCCCAGCAGGGATGGGTGTGCCCCTCTCCATGTTAATTCTTCTCGATTCTTGCTCCCCCACCCCCCCCTCCCCGCGGCGCGGCAGCTCCCCGATCTTCCACGGCTGCGTGAACGAGCGCCTGGCGGAGCGCACCCCCTCCCCCACCTTCTCCACGGCCGACTCGGACATCACCGAGCTGGCGGACGAGCGGCGGGACGAGATGGAGGACTTCGACGACGACGAGGCCTTCGTGGACGACACGGGCTCCGACGCCGGCACGGAGGAGGGCTCCGACCTCTGCGGCGACGGCCAGGACCCCTTCTACGATCGCTCCCCCTGGTTTATTTTAGTGGGCAGGTTGGTGAGGTCCACCCCTGGGGCGTCGGGCGCTGATGCCAGGGGCTGCCAGCTCTTTCGCCGACCGACCGCCTGGCCTCCTGCACTCCTTACCCACGGAGAGCAGGCCAGGCCGCCTCGATTCGATCTCCTGCGCGTTTGCAGCTTTTTACCCACTCCCCAGGGTGACTGGCACAGCGAGGGCCTACCGGCCTGCATGAGCACCGCTTTGCAGAAACAGTGCCCTTTAGAGATCAGTGAGAAACACTCGTGCCTGTGCTGAACAAGGCTGTAAGTCCGTGCTCGCACCCCGGTCTGAGGCAGATACTCAAGACCGGGCGCTTTCAGGAGCGCCTTGCCCCCGGTGTGTGGTTATTCGCGGTCACAGCGGCAGTTCTGGCCTGGGAGCCCCTTCTCGTGGTGGTCTTTCGTTACGATCCTTCACAGCAGACGACCTGCGTCGAAAGAGCTGGATCCTCCTGACCTCAGCGCCCGAAGGGACGGTGCCGAGCGGCTTCAAACTGAACGCATAAAAATGTGACTTAACACCCATCAGTCTTTTGTGTGTTTTAACAAAGAACACTCATTATTTTTTTGCCTTTTTTTGTTTTGTGTGTTTTTGTTTGAAGTTTTTATTAAAGATGTAATCTGTTCCATTTTTTTTTCCTTTGACCATGTCATTTTAAAAGTCGTGATGATGGCAGTGTTCAGAGCCTCTTCAGTCTGTTCTCTTTGCTGCATAAATTTGTTCACCCCCTGATAAGGTACTGGCTGCTTTAATGAAAGGAGTGCTACAAGCCTTGAAATTCGGTTAAGAACACTGAGACAGCATGAAGATAATAAATTATGTTTTGCGGAATAAAATCCATACTGGTTGATGCAGGCTAAAAATACCCGCTGTGCTGATTCTGTATATTTACAACTTTTTATTTTATTCAATTACAATATGCTCAGATATAATATTTTATTAAGGTGCAGCATTACTATCTGTGTATATGAAACATACTGAAAAGGCTTTTATTTTAGTTGCATATGTTTTGTTTTAATTTGCAATTTTCATTTGTTTTTAACGTTTGTATGTTTTTGGTGTGTATTTTTTTGTTTCTATACATTTTGTTTGGTGTTTTTATGTCATTGAAAACTCACATTTTTGGCAATGCATTGCATTAATTTTGTATTCCTATGGGTGGGGTGAGATAAACTGAAACGTTTTGCTAGGAGAGACTCATAGAGACCTGGAAGTGCATTTAAGTGAAGTGTGAGAGTTTCTTTTTAAGAAATGTTTTAACAAGATTGCAAAATGACTGCACTGTTTAGTGGAAAGAAAAAACACTGGTGATTTTCTGTGTAGTGCTTAGTTGGTAAAGCACTTGCTTTGGTGTGGCAAAGACTAATTGTTCAAGCTGGGGAGTGTCCAGGGATGATCGTTGTTTACACTTCAGATTTCATAGCAGAGGGTCCAGGCATTCATCTGTTTTCAGTAATTGTACAATAAGTCTGTCTGACACATCTGAAACACCAAATCTGATGAGAGTCTTTTGTTGGGGCTGGTGTGCGAACTGCAGAACACTGTTCCCCCAAACTGCAGCGCTGTGCAGACAGCTTGACCTGTGACCTTGCACAGTCCCAGGGTCACCTTGCACAGTACTGTTACACAAGGCTGAGGGGACTTTCCTTGGCCTCCACAGATCTCCTATGGCCTGGTTGAAGTGACAGAGGGGTGGTGGGGGGGGGCAGTCCTGGTTCTTAACGTACAGGATGTGTAACAAGGGGGAGGCGACTTATTGACAGGCTGTGCCTCTCACTCTCCCCTTGACGCGTCTGTGACTCCTCTCTGCCGCAGAGCCTTCGTGTACCTGAGCAACCTGCTGTACCCAGTTCCGCTGGTCCACAGAGTGGCCATTGTGACCGAGAAGGGGGAGGTGCGTGGGTTTCTGCGGGTTGGAGTCCAAGCTATCGCAGGTCAGTACTGCTGGTGTCAACCTATAGGAGCTTCACCGTGGGCTCTTCTGAGGGGTGGCCTGCTTAAATAAGTGAATGTCAATTGCAACAAGCAATTGAGGTTTTTGTTGGGGGTGGGGGGCGATTCTGAAAATCCAAACAGATTTTGAAATTGAAATCAACAGCAAACTGGCACCCAGTAATATTGCTATAATATTAATAATGGTAATAATGTGCCATCCAGTATGTTGATAACATGAAAAGGACAGGTGGTGTGAACTCTTGAATGAAGTGCCCTTTGAAGCAGTGTCTTTTTAGTAGTTAAGCATCGCCATTCCAATAAGTAGTAGTACTCCAGTAGCAGGTATGGACAGCAAGTAAAGGGGAAAGAGTCACAGCCTATTAAGGAAACCAAAGCTAATCAATGCCACTGGCAGTTATTGCCTTTGTTAAATGCAAGCTGCTGCTCATGAGGATTTAGCTGCTCTGTGGGTCAGGAATGTTGCTGTTCAGCCAGAGGTTGCAGGGAGCTGTGGAGGAGACAGCAGGTGCTTCCGTTGTTTGATGTGCGAATGGGCCTGGTCTCGGGGAGCCCATGGGACTCAACAACTGTCCGGCCTTTTTTTTTTTTTTTAAGCCGACGAGGAGGCGCCGGATTATGGTTCTGGGGTGCGGCAGTCGGGCACGGCGAAGATCTCCTTTGACGACGAGTACTTCAAAACGGTGAGCAGCTGCAAGGGGCCAGCCGGACCCCACCGCAGTGTCCCGGCTGTGAGAGGTCCCCTCGTCTTCGGCTGCGGTTCACGCTAATCGTGCTCAGTGGAAAAGAGAAGCATTCCTGATATTTTAGCACCTACTGAACACTTAGCGTGGACAGAATTAGAGGTGTCAGCCAGACTGGGTCTTTTACTGTAGGTACTGTACTGCACACACATCCAGTCGAGGTGCGACTCAGTGTTCAGAAATGGTTTTGGGTTTGGCGTTTTAAGTTTTTATGTGAATTGGATCATTTGTATAAAAGTACATAATGCTAGCTCCATGTACTTGCTCTCAGTATCTAGAAACTCATTTCATAAGGTATTATTGAGTTTCACCTTTTCGACAATCCTTCCTCTTGTGCCTCTACAGAAATATGCCCTGATTGTTTTTAGTTTTTTTCGCAAGGTCAATTCTATTTATTTTTAATACATAAGGATCAATATGTGTGGGGCATGAGGCACAAACAATAATAAATGAATCGCGAAAGGCAATAACTACTTTTCAACCACACTTACCAATTGTATGAGATGATATTGAATTTGAAGAGAATGAACATGTTTGGGTGAGAAGCAGTGTTGCAGTGATTCCTGAATTATTGTCTTCCAGTTGTAGAAAAGATAATAAAAGGTCACCAATCCTTTTAAATTCATCCATTCTATCTTGCAATGAGTCTTTCAAGAGCTGTTTGCTCTGTATTGAAAAGTGCTGGATTTTATTAGGCCCTCAGAGAACAATCTTTTAGTTCTGAAATGATCTCTGTGTAATACTTTGTATTGAATAAGCTGGATTTTAGTATTACGAGAAAGTGAGAATGTATTAATACATACAGATTTGCAAACAGCTGTATCGGAGTCAAAATCCTCCACGGAGTTTTTAATTAAAATGTTGTGCTGTGGATTTAGAAATGGAGTAAGTGGATTTCTAGTCCGTGCGGAGTAATCTCTTGAGCAGCCTATTGTGTTTCTTTCCATGAGAAAGGAAGAAAAGCTGATGACGAGAACAGGCCATTCAGTGCTCTGCTTTTTTTTACACCCCTAGTGATTCTAGTCTGACTGAGACTTGAGAGTCTGGGCTTTCACAGTGTGCCCTGGTAATCCATTCCAGCTCTCAGTGTAAAAAAAGGGCTCTTTAGATTTCTTATGAAATTGGCTTTTAGCAAGTTGCCAGTTCATGTCCTCATATTCTGCTTATTCAGATTTTTTTTACTTTTCTCTATTTTTCTTTCATGATTCCTTTTGTAAAGCAGAGGCAGGAACTGCATGCAGTGCTCCAGATGGGATCTAAGCAAGTTCCAGTGTAGCCCAGCATTGTGTTTGCCCTTTTAACATGTGCATTGCATTGCTGCTGACAGTGATGATATCTCCTACATCCCCTAAATCTTTTCCTCTTTGTGTGTGATCTACTTATTTTGATCTTCATGCAAATGAGCAGACCAATAAAAAGAGAAAATATGAGGTCTTTTTCATTGTCAGTAGCTGAAGAGTTTTACTGGAATTAGTTTTATTGATTGCCTTGGCTCGCAGCCTCAAGGAGATTGCTTTCAAGTGTTGGAATGTGGTACAAGCTTCCCAGCTTTGCTGTTGAAGCCAATACCCCTGGTTTCCTGAAGGAAATGGTTGGATGACTTTCTCGGATCAATTAGTTACTAAGTACCAAACAGGCCATATTGGCCTCCTCTCATTTTTGTAACTGATGTCATGTTTTTTTTTCCTCCCTCCCTCCTGTTCCAGACTGATTTTTCCACAGTGGCCATGACTCGCTCAGGGCTCTCCCTGGAGGAACTGCGCATTGTGGAAGGTCAAGGTCAAAGTTCAGAGGTCATCACACCTTCAGAAGAAATCAACAGAATAAATGACATCGGTAGGGGTGGTACATGTTTTTTTTTGCGTCTTTGATTTATTGTACTGAAGAATAACAGAGTAATGGCAGTCTAGGCAGTTTAATTTAGTGTTGTTTCCTGGTCATGTCAGCATAAGCAGAACTGAAGAAGAATGGCTTCAACTGATCTCATCTCCGATCTGTAAAGCGTTTGTTTATAACACCTGTGATGAGCGTAGATTTGCAACTTGTGCCTCAGGCTTGGAGAATGCTGGAACCAGGGTGGAGTTCGGTTATTATATTACACAAGTTCTTCATGGGTAGCACAGAAGCACTTTAGCAAAGAACGGATATATAAAGGGTTTGTCATTGCACTGACTGCTTGATGTGAGTAAGTTAACTAATGTACGATAGACATTTATAGCTGATAAACTAGCATAAGCGAGCGTTTTTTTCTATAATAAAGAACCAGTACTTGCCTTTTAATATCTGAGCAGTACGGTAATGTCATGTGTTGCCCTCACAGACTTCGCAAACTCGAAACTTGAATTTAAGCACTCATTCGGTCCTGCCAGGCCAAGGCCTTGCCAGTGCGTTTTGTTATTGGGAAGCCCGAGTGGCAGCCCGTGAGCGGGGCCGGTTCTGAGGCCTGTCGGTGTCGGGTTCCTAGATCTCAAGCTGGGCAACGTGGACACCAAACTGACGCTGGAGGGCCTGTCGGAGAAGCTGGGGGGTCACTTGGAGGTCGGCAGCATCTTCACCTTCCGCGTGACGGTCCTCCAGGCCAGCGGCATCCTGCCCGAGTACGCAGACATCTTCTGCCAGTTCAAGTGAGTCAGCCGGCCTCCTCTTACCGTTTTCACCTGGCAGGTCTCTCAACAGGGGAGCAGGCCTCAGAGCCGTCGAGAAGAGAGCTTAGAAATGACAGAAAATAACCCGGATTTAGCAACAGAAAAGTCCTGTAACTCCCTGTAGTCCTGTAGATCCCTAAACCATTCAAAGCAATGAGAGGAAACATTTAATTTAAACTCAAAATTGCACTATTTCTCTCCTGTCTCTTTATCCCTGGCTGTCCATCGATATTGTATCGTCGTCTCTATCCTTGACTCTGTCTTCCTCTGTGTGATTGGCAGCTCATTTTCTCTAAGCTCTTGGAAGCTCTGTTTTGCGACAGTGCAGTGCATGTCGGTGATGCTGTCTTCTTTCTGGCAGTTTTCTGCACCGCCACGACGAGGCGTTCTCCACGGAGCCCCTGAAGAACACAGGCCGGGGCTCGCCCCTGGGCTTCTACCACGTGCAGAACGTGAGTCGCGAGGAGAGGGGAGGCCAGGAGATCGTTTTTTTTTTAGAAAAGAGAGAAAACAGCGCTTGGGTGTTACCACCTGCTGCTCTGATCCCTCGTGGACAAGTCATGCATCAGTAACACATTTTGTAAAAAGTCAGAAGGTCACTGCATCCCTATCTTGGAGGGAGGTGTCCAGGAACCGTGTGTTTCAAGTGCATCTGTGAAAGAATCTCTTTGGAATTACGTTCCACGGAATTCCACTTGATATGCATCGCTGTTCCATGTAGAATGTCTCGCAGAAAATGTTAGGTTTCAAAAGTGCTACAAGAACACTGATGTTTAGATACAGGTATACAGAAGAGTGCCTTCCGTGTGTGACATTTGCAGTCAGTACAGAAGGCTGCAAGAGCAGTGGAGCTGTATTAAAGCCTCTATAATCAGGACAGTGTAATGGCACTACTGCCTCGCAGTGCCAGGGTCCTGGGTTCGTGCCCAGCTTGTGCCACCTGTCTGTATGGAGTCTGCATGTTCTTCACGTGTTTGCATGGGTTTTTCCAGGTTCTCCGGTTCCCTCCCACTCCCAAAGACATGCAGGTAATGCTTGATTGGCAGCTCTAAATTGTCCCTTTCCATGGAGACTTCATCCCTGGGGGGTTTGTTCCTTCCGCTACCATTACTGGCTGTGGGTCTGTGGGGACATGAGGAATCAAATGAGCACGATGAGCTCAAAGGCCTCCTCTCATGTGCTTCCTCCCTGATGTTCTAATCGATAGAGTGTCATTCGGTTTGGGGTGCAGGCTGGGTGGCAACTAAATATGAAGCTTTAAAGTGTCAGTTCAGTCCTTAAGTGCCTGCAAGGCTTTGATTGTGCGTTGTCTCCCCATGCAGATTGCCGTGGAGGTGACTGAGTCATTCATAGAGTACATCAAGACCAAGCCCATAGTGTTTGAAGTCTTTGGCCACTACCAGCAACACCCACTGCATCTTCAAGGCCAGGATCTGAACAGGTGAGGCTCCGAGTCATGTCAGTCCCACGGAGGAGTCGCCCCCTAATGTCCACCTAACTGTTACTGACTGACACTATATACATGCATAACAAACAAGCTATCAGCAGTCACGTTTCAACTAGTAAAGCATTTATTTGTGAGAATAATGTACTGATTAAGTTACAGTTAACTTGTAAATGCAGCTAAGCGGTAGAAGATGTTACTACAAGGGTATTGATGCCTAAATGGAATTAAAACACATAAATGGGATTTGTCGATTCAACATAGTGTTTATGGAACTGTCTGCATTATATTTTTGATTATGTTAAAACATGCACTGTTGGGGACCTTTTTTAAATGTGTGATTTATAGTGAAGGTGTATAATTATTCTGTCTTTTTACAGTCCTCCACAGCCCTCACGGAAATACTTTCCTCCTCCCATGCCATTGTCCAAGCCAGGTATGAGCATTTATATATTTTAAGAGATCTGAGCAATAGGAGATTCTTGAGGTTCTGTAACTCAGTGCACTAATTATGCAAAGTTTAACAATCTGCATTGTCAAAGCTGTATGTAATGTTGGGAAATTAGAGAATGGAGTAAACTGGTCTTGTTAAGTCAAATTTGTTTCATGCAAAACACATATGCATGTACACCTGTACACCTCACACGCACACACACAGGCTGTTTCACTTATTCTGCAAAGGTCACGGTTTATTGATCTGCAACTGCAGGGTGTCAGAACAATAGAAACGTGATTCATAGGCCTGTGTGCTCTGGTGTGGGCTTTATTTTTTTTGTATACCTTGAAGAAACATGCTGCTGAAATCACAGTCACTCTATCCCGGCTTCATAGTCAGTTTCGGACATTCCCAAGGTGATAAAAAGAGGAAAGCACACAGAGGACTGAAAAGGGCACTGTTCCATAGAGCCTGTCAATCCCAGTATTGAGAGCACATGGAAAAGCTGCTTGTGTGAAACACAGGAGTGCCGGGAGCAGAGCACTCGATAAGGAGAGCCTCGATCTTGAGTGCGCCATGCAGGCCAGAACCGGGCTTCCTGGCTGTGGGTTCGTCACAGATATACGCACACGGCCTGCTCTGGCTCTGGCGTATGAGGTCATCTCTAAGCTTCCTGCCTGCGAGTTGGCCCTGATTGCACACCACTCGTCTGCTATTTTGTATTAGTTTTCCATGATTTCTGGAGTTCCGAGTGGATCCCTAGAATCCTGCCAAGGGACACCTGTGTGTCACTGTGAGAGCGTTGCCTCATTTCGTTTGCACAGCTCGTGTTGTTATGCATGCCGTCTCCCTTTTTCTTTTTTCTCATTTCCCCCCCTCTTTTTGCCCAACTCCCGGTCTGCTCTTCCACGCAACTGCCCCTCCTCCCCCACCGGTCTCCCCCCATCGTGCCCCCTTGCTCCGCCGTGTCCAATTTCATTTCAGACCATGCCCGAAAGATTGAGCTGGTCAAGTACCTCATGAGCGGTTACGTTAACACGCACGTGCTGGACACCCTGTCAGAGCACGCCAACGCCCTGGCGTCGTCCGCGGTGGCTGGTTTGGAGGACAGTGCAGATCAGCTGGCCAGGTTTCCCTTCCTGCCGGTTCCCAGCGGCCCGGTGCTGACCGTGCCCCGGCACGACGGTTTGTACCGCAGTCTGAGCCCGGGCAAGCCCGTCGCCTGCCCGGTGCCGTGCTGTGCTCTGTGTGTGCCCCCAGGTGTCGTAGGCGCGCGTAGTGCTGCCTCCATCCTCCCCGTAGCGTTAGCTGCCCCGGAAACAAACAAAGCCGGGCCCTGCTTTCACCATCACCTCTCGCCGCAGGTTTTAGAACAGGAAGAACGAGTTCAGTTAACGTTTCCTGTTTAGTCGCCATGAATTTTACTGTTTTCCTCAGGTCTTTTAAATAGGCCTTCCCAAATGCATCACAAACAGTTTTTTTTTCCATGGCCTAAGGTTTCATATTTTCCTTTGCAAGACGTATATCTCTCAGGTGTCAAACGTCTCTCAGCAACCTGAGAGAAGATTTTCCCAGATTTTGCGTCTTTTTGTCCCTTTAACATGTTACCAAATTCATGGGCATGTATGTCTCTGGAGCTTTAACACCTTAAATGGGTTAAATGAGATATTGAATGTTCTATTTTTCTTTCTTCAGTCTGAGCAGTGAAATAGAAACTTGAAGACACAAGTGGAAACTGTCTTGAAGTGCATTTAAAAACTGAGACCTGGAGGCACTTTGTCACTGAAAGGGCTGTGGGAGTCTGTAACTATTTCCCCAGCCTGTTGTTGATACCCTGGCTTCTTTTGAGAAATAGCTGAATTAGATCCTCAGAGAAAACAGCTGCTAGCAACCAAGTGGGCAAGATGGGTGGAGTGGTCTCTCTTTTGTAATCTTTCGTATGTCTTTGTGTATCTTTCGTCTTCATGTCACAGGTGTTTGTTTTAAGGTGTGTGTCCAATACTTTGAAAACCAGATTCTGTGGCTTATCAGGAGATGTCTGCTTCTGTGCCTTAGTTACACTTATAGAGCAGAACAGCTCTTTGGTCCTGGGTTTGAGTGGACAGGGGCACCTTCGATGCCTCTGGGTTTTTTTTAACAGGTTGCTGCTTTTCTCCCAACCTTCAAAGACATGCTGGCTCTGTTAACTAGTTTGTCTACCCTGTCCCTGTGTCTGTGTGCCCTGTGATAGACTGGCATCCCCTCCAGGCTGTATCCTTCCTGGCACTCTGTCCTTTCAGGATAGGCTCTGGGTTGCCGCAGCCATTACCAAGAATAAACAGCTTTTTGCAAAGGGGTGGATCATATCTGAACCGTTGCTGCATGGGTCCTAAATTAATTATCTCAACCTTTTGTGAACGCTGTGCATAATTTATAGTGACAGAAAACGACAGAATTAATTTTTAAACATCTGCAGCATGATTAAAGTTATGATCCTGATTGCTCCTATTAAGCTCTGTAGCAGTGTGACGCGTGATTTAGGCCACAAGCTGTTGCTGTTTCTTGGATACATTTGTAGAAGGTGCAGCATGTGTCGTTCAGTGTTTTTGTACATTCTCGACCGCAAAACAACATTACGGGAGGTGGACATGCAGTAACACACGTTAAAACATTAGTTCAGATGGGTAGCTGCGTCAGCATGCGTAGTCTGCAAAGTAACAAGTAATAGGTGTATTCCATACTGAAAAGAGAAGAGAGAAAACACAACGTTTCGGATGTGAAGCCTTCTTTGTTAAAACATTATCCATGCAGAACCTCATTAGATGTGTAGAAACATTATTGATAACCTTGTGCAGATGAAACTGTAGGAAGAAAATAGGATGGCACTGCTCCTGTCCTGTTGCCTCCATCTTAGTTGTGCTTAAATATATTAATAGTGCATCAAGCGCATTTAAATGTAACATTTCCCAAGGTCAAATGGAATTTTAATTCCATTGATCTTTGTACCATTTTTCCTACTGCAAAAAACAGGTCTGAGAATCACGGCTATTCTTCTCTGATTTTACTGTATCTACCAGGCGTAAAAGTTATTTAACTTGCACGCCCGCCACAAACTATGATGGAAGCAGTTAGGAACACCACGTGATCAAGCCAAAAATTGCATGTTTTTTTCTTTTAATAAGATGCACTTATTGGTTCGGTGAATTGCTCTGGGAAGTGGCCGCGCGATGGTGCCGCGGTGATTTAGGGCTCTGTGTTTTGCCTTGCAGTACCGGCCACCAAGCTGAACACCATCAGCAAGCCCAACCTCGGCCAGTGTGTGAGCAAGTATGACCTGCTGGTGTGGTTCGAGATCAGCGAGCTGGAGCCCACTGGGGAGTAAGTCCCAGCCTGCTGTGTCTTGTGAACACGCTGAACTAAGTGGCAATCGGCGCAGTGGGAACGCAGGACTGAATTGAGATTTTGATCCTTATTTCCTCAGGAGTGCTGTTCCTGAAGTAGTGTATTTACAACAGCTGTTCATTTTATGATTAACTTCTGTTTTCACAACATGTCTAGAGAAGTTTGGTGTAGAATTAAGAAAAAGATAAAAACCAGTACCGCCTCTTGTTCGTGCATGCAGATTAATAGGATTGTTCCAG